CAGTTCGCAGACAGTGTTAGTGGGACTGTGCTTGGCGCCTTTGGGTTTGGACATCAGGGTAGGTCATCAGTTTGTTCCTCTTGCAGCAGGAAACTGCTATAAAAGTTGTTTTATTTGAGTTTGACTGTGGCCAGTCCCTGCAGAAAAGCAGCCCGGGATTTGGCATTATTAGTAAAGGACAGCTGAGATTAGGTATGCCATGCCTTAAAACACATCTGTCAGGAAAAGCCTGTGTGGCAGGTACCCATGTGGTGTTTGGATTTAACTGGTGCTGGCCATGGCACCTCAGCAAGCTCCAGGTTCACTCAGTGTGATGGGACAGATGTGCTGGTGGCTTCACTGGTTTAATTTTCAAAGCTTGGTGTCTAGCTGCTACTGGTGGTCAAATTACTGACAAGTTATTGATGTGACTCCAGCTGTGTTTGGAGCTCAGAGGGAGTCCAGACTGATGCAGTTGTCTGCCCTGCCAGGGCTTGGAGAGCCAAGGAGACCAGCCAGTGCCCACAGCTGGGCAGAGGTGGGAGGGAGAGAGACCACTGTGGGAGAAGAAGCAGTAACATGTTTCTGGGCTCTCTCCCACCAAACCAGCTTTCCAGGGGATCAGCTGCGACCAGAATAAGCAAGTCTTTTGCTGGCAAATTTTCTCTTCTGCCCCAGCCCAAGCAGCCTACTTTGCTTTGCATGGCCAAGGGCAGGTTTGAGCTCCTGGAGCTGGGTCAGCAACCCTCTCTTGTCTTTTCACACGACTTTTGTGGCCATGGACTTGCTGAACTGATGTCTCTGCAGGTCCCTAGTGCAGGTGCTCTGCTGGATACCATGCACAAATAACTTTGCACAGCCCTGGGCTACCAAGATGTCCAGGAGGAGACGGGGTCATTCATTGCGAGGCTGTTGCCAGTTCTTTACTGGGATATTCGGAGATACCTGGACCATAAAGCTCTCTGCCTCTCCCCAAGGTGAGCCTGCCTTCAGGGCAGCTTCCCCAAAGCCCCATGATCCCAGGCTGGCCGGCTGCCTGCGGTTCCACCGCGTGGCAGTGAGTTTGGGGGCTGGCAGAACAGTGTTTGGTGCAGCCCCAAACAGTGGTACCATGCAAAGCCCCCCCTGGAGCATCTGCAGAGTGCTCCAACAGCCAGCCAAAGCATGGGGGATAGGGGTGGGGGGAGATATGCCTCCTTGAAAAATGCGTATCAACTATAAACTTTGCCTCATAAAGATATATTAAATAAATACTGTATATTCTACAAGCCTCACTGCAGTGTGTGGCTTTAAAATTGTGGCCAATGAAACGTATTTTTTCAAATACAGAAGAAGTTGTATTTTTTTATAGCAATGCTTTGTGAGAGGGAAGACTTAGTTTTATGTTTTTAACTTCAGCTTAAATATTAGTTTGTCTTTCCTGAGAGACCTGGTAGAAATTATTGTCTCCTTCTTGTCCTAGAACCCGATCAAAGCCATCTTGACCTCTTAAAACTGGTGCATGTATAGAACTATAGTATAGCTTTGGGTGCCCCTCTCCCAGATCCTGGAGAAGGATTACCATTTGTGCAACACTGTTTTACTTGCAGAACAATGGAGAAAAATGAGACCATCCTCCCAGTAAGGGAGGTGGTTTGGTTGGAAAGCATGGCATGTGTTCATCCACTTGCCTGAATTAGACAGATAACAGATCCATAGACTTTAATCCCAGGTGGACCAGTTTTTGTATGCTGAAAGGGTGACTCTCCATGTTTTGGAGCTGGGTTTATGGTAGTTATGGAGAGAGGAGGGCTCACTAATGAACCCCACTTTCTTGAACCAGCACTTTATACCCCATCTATGCAGGATGACAGTCTGCAAACTGGCAGCATATTTGGAGAATGGCACAGACCGTGAGCTACCAAAGCAGCTAAACCCTTGTGAAGTTCTGAGCTGACTCCCTGTCTTGTTGGTGCCCGTGCTGAAACACTGTGTTTGTTCAGGGCATTAATCATGTGAAAGGTTTATTGCAGTCAAAGAAGAATAATGGAGTATGATATGAAATGGGTTACCTCCACCAAAATGGAATGCTATTGTGAAAGATAAATGGAGCGACTTACCTTGTGATAAACTGTATGTTATCTTAATTAATCATAGGAAATGTCCTCTTCCTCTAGCATTGCACAGCTTCTAAAATAATGAGTTACAAATACATTGTTTTCTGCCAAGTCCAGTGCTCAGCATGGTTAGCAGAGATTGCAAATTAATAAATGGCTGAAGCTCTGCCTGGTGGGGGAGAGTTCATGCTCTCTGCAAGTTGCATTGGCTAAACCTCAGTGCTCACCAATATTAAAGCAGAGAATTAACGGAAAGCTGGTTAGACAGGACTCTCATGTACTCACTGTGCATTTTAATTCTAAATAAGAAACATAATAATTTTGTTGCTTTTTCCTTTCTCCATGAATAATATTTGCAGCTGATGGATTTTGTTTTATTTTATTTCTCATTTAAATTCCAACATTCTTTGCTTCCATCCTTTTTCTGTCCCCCAGGATAAATTATGCAGTGGGGGGGTATTTTCTCTCTCTCATAGAATCCTTGTACTAGATTTTCCAACAAATGTGTAGGCAATTTGTTTTGGCCAAACAGTAAGTGAATGCAGCAGTGCAAATGGCCTTCATTCCAGAGATCTTGATGAGGACAGGGGGCTGTGCATGCGTGTAGGTGGAAAGAAGCATAAGTAAAAAAAAAAAATTCAAAATAAAGAGCCTAACTTGCAGGGGAGGCTGGATACCCCTAAAATTATCTAAAAACTTTGAAAGCTTCTCAGCAGTTATAGAAGCCAGGCCAGATATGGTGTACAATATTTGGTGAAAGAAGATAATTGTCATTCTGATTTAGTAATTCGGCAATTCAGAATATCATTGTATGGTCTTTTGCCCCACTTGTCCTCCAATTCAGTGAAGCAGTTGGCGTATGCTTAAATCGCCTCAATCTTTTTGTGATTAAGTTTACCAAGTGCTCAATTTCTATCTTTCATATATGCAATTATGCACAATCTTTGGACAAAATTAGCCCTTACAGGGTTTTTTCCCCCAGCCTTCAGTCTCTTGCAGCAAAATGCACCATTTTGCTTTCATGTGTATTTAAACCCAGCAGCAAAAAAAAAAAAAAAAAAATAGAAAAAAAGGAAAAGAGAAAAAAAAGCGCTTGGCATTCACTAGTGTTTTATGGTGGCAAAATTGCTTCAGGTAACCTTGATAACTTTGTGCAAAAGTTCATTGCCATGCTTGTACTGACTTGCTGAAAATTTTTTCTTCTGGAAGATACCTCCAGTGGTATCCTCTGTAAAAGTTATGGCTTCTACAACTGTATTACTGTAGAAATCTCTGCCTGAAGTGGATGTCACTCTGTGTGTTCCTCTCATGCAGGAGTCGTTTGCATTGCCTGCTGTTCATATGGTTCTTATTTCTGTATCTAATTTTTTTTAAATTAGTCGTGCATATCTTTAAAAAAAAAGAAAAACAAAAATAAGAAAGCAGCCCATGGAATAGAGATATTTTAAAAATAAATTCGCACTTAGCTGGATGTATGTCAGCGATACAGGAATTTGCAAAGTCTTTGCTTTTTTCACTGTGGGATTAATGGCTAGATTTCACATAAAGGAGTTATGCTCAAAGTCTTTGCAAAAGAAAATGTATGTAAATGTCTATTTTATATAAAAAGTAAGAAAAGTAAGTGCTGTGCCTGGTTTTGTTCTCTTTCTTTAGGACCAACCATGAACAAGTTCTTCTGGAGGTGGAAGGGCCAGAGTTTCTTACTCCACTTATGTTTTACTGCCCCTGGAGTGCCAGTTATTGGTCATATAGGAGCAACTGTGCAGCACGTGTATTTGACTGTGGGCATATAAAAATATTGGAGGAGGCATTTTTTTGGAGCCTGAGCATGAGAAAAGATGTGGGCTGGTGCTTACATGGTCCTGATGGTTGGACATGTTATTCTGACATAAGCTCTTCATGTCAGGCTTTATGCCTCTGTCAGGAGTGTGTCAAACAAGTCTAAAGAGTGTGAAGAGAAAAAAAAAAAGAAATTAAAAAGAAACTAATTTCATTGTAAATCCCTTCTTCCTGGCAGACATACTCCAGCATCCTTCTAGTGTTTGAGTTCACTCGGGGGATCGTGATGGTGATAAAACACCTCTACTGAAAATGGACCTGAAAGAGAATCAAAAGCCCTGAACATGTGCCACAGTGTTTTGTGCCATCCTGCTGTGTGCAGAACTTAGCATGAAGGGGAATTGTAGGCTCACTCAGAAGTCAGGCCATACATCCTGAAGTTCTCCCAGATCCCAACAGTGCAGAGTTTCTTAATGGAGCTTCTATCCAGCGCCCACCTACCCAGATCCTCGTTTGTACTGATGAAGAAATGAGATGTACATCCAGGTCATAGCCTGGATCCTGCCCTGTGGATCAGTGTGTAGTTCTTGCCCTTCGGCAGAACAAGGAATACATCAGGGATGGGCAGTGCCCTGGCGAGTGGGAACAGGCTGGACAGTGCTTGTGCAGCCCCCCGGCTGCTCAGGGGCTCCTGAGGTGGGGTGGAGATGTCTCCTCTTCCATGGGTGATGCCAGGGCCCTGTGTGCCTGGAGGCACCGCAGCACCTGGAGGTCCCTCTGGTTCCCGGCCCAAAAAGGAAAGACAGCTCCATGCTTTAGTTGCCCTGGCAGCATGTGGATAGCAGCTCTCTCTGTAAAAAAAAAGGTCAAATAATTTTCATCCTTATGACAGCTACTTGAGCCTCTCTGTAAACCCCATGTATTGCTTCACAGATGAAAAGCTGCTGGAGGTGTCCAGCTCTCTTGGTGTCCTCTGGGAAGGAGGAGGCAAGCACACCACCATGCTTTATCAATGTGCTCTTCCTGGCCAGCCTGGGCAAGCAGAGACCACGGAGCGAGGAACTTGGCAGGACTTGCCTTTGCCTGTGCCAACCCTCATCTGCAAGGGCTGAGGCAGCTCAGGTCTGGCAGCAATGGTGAGGGGAGATGTTAGATCCTGCTGCTGTCCATGGAAGGAGGCAGCAAACTGCAAACAGGTGAGCCAAGGGAGCTGGAAATCCCCAGTGAGACATGGCCGCAGAGCCTCCAAACCCACCTGTGTTGCAGCCCTGACTGACACCTCATCTACTAAAGGGGCTAGTTAGCTGGGACCTGAGTTGTTTCTCCTGTGTGAAGCACAGCCTGGGCTCCAGCACTGGGTACTTTTCCTGGGCTGTGGTGAGAGCAGGGCTCCTCTCACTGCTCTTGTCCCTTCTTGCTCTATGTGATGAGTCCTGTGCGTGGTCTGTGAGGAGATGTGCCCAGCGAGGGGGCTACAGCAGCAAGCACTGGTATCGTCTGCACTTTTCAGGTATGAAACAAGTGATTGTAACCACTCAGTTTTCACAAGTCATGCTTGGTTGTGCTTGCCACTGACGGGTGATTTTTTGGCTGCCCTTTCTGTAGCTCTGCTGAGACTGGAAGCCTTTCATACCCTCTCCATCCAGGTGCTGCTCACCACAGCCCTCTCCTTGGCTGCTGTGGCAGGTGAGCCGTTTCCTGTGCAGGCTGCTCAGCTGCCACGTGGTCCTTTGGCTGTGCAAGAAAGAGAAATAGCTTGGTCCCACTGCATTTGCTAACTGGTCTCCTTGGGGCACCAGGTCAGAGCAGTGCCTGGGAGAGCAATGGATGGCAGTATGATCTCAAATCCTTGCACATCCTTCTGCAGCGGCTAATGTATTTATGAATCCCTCTCTGGCCTGCTCCCACATCCATGTGAAAATTTATGCCCCAAGGCTGTTTATAGGTAAGAGAGGGAAACAAGCACAAGGCAGGCTGTGAAGTGGATCAAGCTGGGCAGAAGAATGGTGATCTTGAGAGTAACTTCCTCCTGGTAATGAAGACAACGCTAAAAACACCTGATCTACGGGGACAAGAGAAGGGATAACCAGCTCATTGCCAGCCTTCCCACGCTGCTCCAATATGATGCTGGTCCTTCTGCTGTTGCTAATGTTATTTCTCTCACTACCTAAGGGAATGGTATTTTCTCCATCATTTACCACCCTGATAAAGTCTATTTATTTTCTACTTCTCTAGTGGACTCGCTGCTATAGCAATAATCACCACAGTCTCCTGTTGGAAAGGCTAGTCAGCACCAAGGGCTAGGGAGAGCTTGGTCCAGGTCAGTGGCTTAGAAAATTGTGCCTGAGCTTTGCAGTAGTCAAGTGCTTTGGGGCCAGAAAGTGAACTGGGAATATGATAAAATTCTATTTAAAAAGGAGGAGAGAGAGAGGCTGGGCTGAACAGGGCAGCAAGTAGCTGAGTCCCTCTACAGCCTGGAGTGCTGCAGGAGTTGTGCAAGGATCCCCACAACCTTGTGGGTGATTGCCACTTTTTACTGCTGAGGTCTTGGGGTGGATAGCCATCTGGGTAGAGGAGAAAGACATGGGCTCCTCAGTGCACTGGCACTCTCATAAGGTAGTGTGAGAAACTGGTGAGCTTTCTAATGCCTGTCAACTTTATCAAGTAGCATCACCTTCAAGCCTACACAGAGGACAGACCCAAAGTTATACAGAGGGCTCAAGTGGTGTAATCCAGTTTCAGTCTCCTGGTGACTCCAGTGAATTATTTCAGGCTCTCACCAGGACAAGCACAGTTCAGGTACCTCCCAAATCATGAGCATTGTATTGCTTATATTTGCATGGCTGGGAACTAAGCTCTTATCCCAGCCTTGGCTTGGGAGAGGCAGGGGACCCCTCCTGTTGGCATGAGAAACACATTGGACAGGAGTGATTAACACGATTTTTAGCTGGTGCAGACACAGGTCAGCTGAAAGGAATGGAGGAAGAGCTGTTGTCCTCTTCTCAGCAAGAAAGACAGAGACCTGATGCTACCCCTTTCCCACAACTACCCAGCCTGGAGAAGCAGACCTCCAGTTGGTGTGAGAAGTTGCAGTCGGTCCCTTTTCTTTGCATCCCAGGCATTTGAGATCCCTCCTCCTGTGTGATCTTTGGTGTGATGGTTGTGTTCTGGAGCTGGGCCAGGGGAACAGCACACCCCTTCCTCCTCCACCTAGCATGGTCCCTGGCAGGCCTGTCACTGTGCACATCACTCCCTGCTGGCTGAGGACTGATGGGGTTTTCCACAGAAAACATAAATGGGATCACCATGGATTTATCTCAAACTGTACAGTTCAAGATAGCACTTAAGACTTAACCATACCCAGACATCCCTGAGTCAAAATATCTCTGTGCTCACTGCTCACATCTCTAAGGCACAATTGGTGCCAGAAGCCCTGTGAGAAAGCTGTGTCTCTGGTGTGTTCCAGACCAAAGTCAAGACTGAGTGCAGGGCCAGCTCAGTTCAGAGACAACATCTTTCATCATGACTTTACTGGCACAGGTTAAGTGTCCCGGGCCACTTAAAGTATGGAAGCTTTTAAAAATAACCTTTGAGTAGTCTGGTGGTATCATTACAACCTGTTGCGTTTGTTACTTAATTTTGTAAGTCCCAGTTGCATTTCATTAAGAATAATTAGGCTACTGGATGAAATGTAGATTTGCTTTTTTATGGCTGTGCACACACCCCATGAAAGTACGTCACAGGAGACCTCAGCTTTGCACACATCAGATTCTTACAAAAAAAAATGCAATTTCTGTGTGTTTCATTTATCTCCATATAATTGCCTTCAGCTTGGAGCTCAGACTAGAGTCAGGAAAGCTATGGCACCTGGGATTTGTCCCATTAATTCACTACCTGCCAGAAGAGTCTGAGTTGATGCATTTGAGCATGTGGGGTCTTGTCTCACTGAAAAAACACTCTTTTTTCAGGTCTTCTATGTAGTCCTGAAGTGTGGAGTTTGTCCCATTGACCTGAGGAGCCCAGAGGATACTCTGCAGCTGAGATTAGTTGTTGGAAGATGGAGCCTGGAGGGCAGCCCTGTCAGGTCCATGTTGTGGCATACTGCCCACCTGTCTGGGATTGGGGAGGAGAGGAAGAAGCCATCTCTCCTTCATCCTCAAGTCACTGAATGCTGGTCACTCAGGAATAGAAGTTGGACTAACAGTCCTTCTTGTTCAGCTTTCCAGTCTGGTCCAAGAAGATGTGCCTATTACTGCTGCCCACTGCATGGCCACCTGAAGCAGTAAGTCAGTCTCACCTCCTCACTCACTCTTAAACCTCTTGCAACAAAAAATCCCCTTAGGACACGGGTTGTTCCCAGCCCAGGTATGCGGTCCCAGTTAGGGAGGGAAGTGGCCTCTGCGGCGCTGAGCGAGGCCAGTGCTCTGCCACAGTCAGGTCCATGGGATGTGTCACTCCAGAGCCATGGGGCTGAAGTGCAACCCCAGCGCCCTGCTTGCTCCTGTTGTATCTCTGCATTGTTCTCTCCAAAGCCTGGGAAGCTCTGTGCTATGTGGGCAGCCCTGGGGCAGAAATCAGGGTGTGGAAATCCCCATGCTACCATGGTTTTCTAAACGTCTAAATCACTAATTCTATATGGTTTTGTCTTTAAAAGACCCTGCTGACCTAAGCAAGCATCCAGAGAAGCATATCTGAGGCAGGAGGAGAAGTACTGCACCTTCCTGGTAAAAGCAGCCCTGGCAACTATCCCATCACTCAGCAGTCACGTTGTCTTCTGTACTTTTAATGCAAGACCAGCTTCACAGGCCATGCTAAAGACCTCTTAATGGGCAGGGACAATGATATAAGTGGCCCCTTTGCCAGCCCTTTTATAATCCATTATAATGTAATTGCAGACCAGTCATCTTCACATCTGTTTCTTGCTCAATTCGAGCATCATTTTTGAGGACTAATGTTGAATAATGAGAAAGTTGCTACGGTATAAAAATTTCAATGCGCAAGATTAACCTTGATAATGAGGAACCTCCTTGTTTCTCTATTCTGTGCAAAACTAGTCAGTGCTTTTACTCTCCACTGTTATGCTGCCAGTGCTGTTCCTCTGTTCCCATTACTGCAGCATTTGCATTGCCAGGCAATCCTGGTGTCAGACTTTGCTGGGAAGTGTGGGAAATTTCCATTTCCAGTAAACAGCCTCCTGGGGATTAAAGCTGAGCTGCACTGTTAGTGGGTCTGTTGCTCATGGCTGGAAGTGATTATAAAATGAAAGTAAGGGTTTCCCTGAGTGGGAAAATAAAATAAATCTTGATTTACTAGAAAACATTGAAACAAAGGCTCATGTTGAACCCTTGATATCTTGATTTAAAATGCTTGGGGCCACACTACAGGGGCAGAGAGCCATAATAAAGTGTGTGCCTGCCAGGCTGCCTGGACTTGCCATCTCCAAAGGCTGCGTGGGTGAAATAGCGTGGTGGTAATTTGCACCAGTTGGACTTTCCTGAAGGGGTGCAATCTCATAGAGAAGCGGTGTTAAAAAAACAAAACAAAACCCTATAAATCTACTAGAAATCAGTGATAAATAGGTTTCAAAGCTCTTGTTTGAGTACTGGGGTTTCTTGGACTCTCGAGAGAAGGTAGTCTGGAGAGAAAGGGCAGCTGCTTCAAATCTGGGTTTTGTCCTATTCTGGCAATAATTCAGCAGAGCTTTCATCTGCCCTAATTGCAAAGATCTCAAAATGAGCTCACTGCTGTTTCACACTGTGATGTGAGAGATGGTGACGGAAAACACAGACAGATGAAACCCAGGCAAGTTTCCACTCCTGTGAGTATTTCTCACAATGACAGGTATCAGAGAGATCAATGAACCCAATGCATGTCTCACTGAGTGCAAAAGTGTCCCACCCTGCACCCTAGAGCACTTGCTGCAATCCCTAGAGAAGGGCTAGAGATCCGGTTTGCTAAAGATGGGATCTACTGCCCATCTATTTATTGGGTAACTGCTCTGATAGTGGGTCTATCTACCTAATTGCTAAAAGAAGTACTGAATGTTGTTTTGACTCTGCTGGAGTTGATTACTCTGAGTTTAACTGTGACATTATACTGCTTATAAAATATGCAGAAAACCCATAGTGGGCATATGCTTGTGTAGTGTTAACTCAAACTACATGTAGCTGCTTAAAATCATCATAAAGCTCTCTGATCTAGGCCTCTGCTCATCTCCTTAAATGCACTGAAAACAAAATTAGAAAGGAGGATCTATGGGGTCAAAATGACTTAGCAATCAGTTCCCGTTGTTTTTAAGGCTTCTCCTATCCCCTTTAGGATCCCAGACTGCAGGTAACAAGGGCTGAGCTTGATGTTTCAAGGTCAAAAATGGAGGGCTCTGTGAGTCCCAAGGTGAAGAATAAATTATCTTCTTCCCTGTACCAAGCTGGCTGCAGTGAAATCTGCTGGCACCTCTCCTGGCAGCTCTGTGCTTCCCAAATATGAACAGTGCCTTGATGGATAGCAGATGAAACAAGAAACCAATCTATCCATTTGAAAGAAAGTCCAGTTTTTCCAGCTGGAAGTCAGGAAACTTCTGCATTGCTGCTAATGTGAAATCAGCCTGGCCAAAAGTCCTGTTTCTGAAGGCCAGCCCCAGATCTCAGGGCAGAACCAGACCGTAGGGTTGCAGATTCCATGTCCCCTCAGTTATGCCTTTACTTCTTATCACAACTGGGTTAATTCTTGTCCTAGGCTTTGATTAATTGTCCCAGAAGCTTATCCCTGAGGGTTTGTTCTCTGGCTATGCCTGTGCTTGCTTTGTGAGATTCCTGTGTGCCTTTGTGTTGCCCTTGTACAATTGTTTCCTTCTCCACCAGCTGCTGGAAAGCCATTGGCTTCCCCCTGGCATAGCCCTGGGCTAGCACCCAGCAGTGGGCTGCAAGGGTCCTGCCCACCAAGAAGCATTAACACCTGGATTAGGACCTGCTTGCTCTGAGTACTCCTGCAGGCAAAAGCAAAGCCTCTGGAGGCAACTGGAGGGTGTCAGAGTTAAGGAAGTGGCACAAGTCTTTTCAAAGGCAATTTCTTGTATTGTGTAGAGATATGCTGGGTTACAGCCATCATACAGGCCATGACTGCCTGTGACCATCAGATGGCAGATCAGCCAACACAAAATAACCTTCTGTCACTGTCATGTCTCAAAACACTGGCTCGGTCAGTGATAGCCTTACAGTTTGCCCATAATGGAAAGAATAAGGGAAATAAGACCAAATAAATGTTTGTTTCTGAGCTCAGACATCCTGGCAGGCAGCATGAGGAAGGCTGCTTGAGGGCTGCCTATGTGCCTGTACTCTGTGGTTAAGCAGATATATATATCCAGGTGTGAACTGGGCTTGACATCATCTGAGGAAAATTCAGGGGTCCCTACTTTGCTCTGAAGGCTGGGCACTGCCAGTGCCCCATTGAAGCTGCCAAGGAGAACTATGATGCATTTTTCTCCCAATATCAAGGAAAAGCAAACCAATATGACTCTAGATTGAACTTGAGTTTTGCATGTCCTACATAACTCCTTTGATCTGATAAACACTGGTCTTTGGGGAGAAAGATGTAAAGAGTTTCTCACAAACACAGAATCATTCCCACAGTATGTGAGATGGATAGAGGCAATCCAGTCTCCTTGTCTCTGCTAGGCTGTTCCACCTCCTTGTCCTCTTCCCAAGCATCCATGTGCTTATGTTAACATTCAGTCTTCCTGATTCCTTCCTCTCAATTTGGCATGTCTATATTCAATTTAATGTGGCTAACTTTGGTTTGTATTCTCATTTTATGAATACCCATAGGGGACTATGATGTTTTGGGAAGGGAATTATCGAAACAGTATGACTTGAAGGCAGTTTGTGCCTGTAAATCAGAAAGGTTACTGGAAGGATGTGGTTCCTGCACTTGTTTGTGTACCCTTTCCTCTGCAGGGGATGAGGTTAAAGGATGAAGACTTCTGTGCTGGGACACTGCGTGTGACTAGTGGCTGGGGCAAGGTGTCTGAGGGAGAGTCAAATGGCAGAGTCTTCTGGTCACAGTTGCAGGAACAGAATAATGGATAAGGGAAAGGAGACACTTCCTTTCAGAAATAGAAATGCAAGAGAAGGTGACTCCTGCCATATGGAATATTCAAGTACCCTTTGCTCATTGGGTCTCCTCTGCTTGTCAGAGGACCAGCCCCTGTAGGGATGTGCAGATCAGCATTTTCCTGCAGCATGGGACCTTGGAGCACATTAGGGAAGGTTGCACTTTGCTGCTGTGCATATTCATGTGTGCATATTGGAGCCTGTGGAAGCAGAGCCATCCTTACAAGGTGGCAGCACTGGCTCCTGTCCTGCAGGAGGTGGAGCTGTCCTCATCGAGAGCCAGACCCGCAGCATGGTGCTGAGGGCAGGGTGTGGGGCTCTTTGCTGTGCACTGGCTTTGCTGATGGTGTGCAAGGTAACAGCTCGTCTGCCCTGGCTCCTGCTGGGCAGCAGGCTGTTCCTGTCCACCCACAAACCTTCTTCTCTCCTGAGGAGAAAGGGAAGCAACAGCACTGAAAGTGCTGTCAGCACTTCTCTGAGTAAGGGCTTTACAAGGAGCTTCAGGATAAGGAAGGCAGGAGCAGTCTTTTACAGGTGGGAGTATGGATGTGAGCAGGAGACTGAATCATGATTGGCCTCTTGCCTAGACCTGCCCTGGGCATTGCTAACAGCAGGACCTCCATCTCTGCACACAAGCGCCACCACCTCTACTGAAACCGGGGGTGACCTTCAGTGGTGGGACTCCAGGCATGGGCAAGGGAACCTGGCGTGGGCAATGCTACCAGGAGGCTGTAAAGAAGGCAGTTCCCACCTCCCACCTGAGGTCACAGAATCACAGAATAAGCTAGGTTGAAAGGGACCCACAGGGATCATTGAGTCCAACTCTTAGCCCTGCACAGGACCATCCCCAGGAGTCAGACCGTGCGCCTGAGAGCATTGTCGAAATGAATCTTGAACTCCGTCAGGCTTGGTGCTGTGACCACTTCCTCTTACACACACTCAAGCCTTCTGATACCCTTGCTCAGACAGTCCCACTGGGCAATTGCCTACAATAGAGGAGTTTGGAGGAATAAATGTCACAATTTCTCCCCAGTGAAGTTTGGACAGGGTGACTCTGGAGGCCCCTTTGTGTGTCTGATATCTGGTGCCACTTGAACTCTGACCAGTGTGGTGTCCTGGGGGGTCGGTTGTGCTACAGGTTTGGATACCCTCATGAGAAGCACCATGGCCCAGAGCTCATCAGGCATCTTCTCACAGGTGGCTGTTTGTGACTTCATTGCCCAACACATGACACAGGGTAGGTGTGAGTACTGGGAAGGTATTTTTCCACTCCTACCTGTTTAGCACCATAGGAATCCAAATTGTCGTGCTATTGCTGCCTCCCTCCTCTCCACCCACAGCACTTCTGTTTGGTTTCCAGACACTGCATCAGCAGCAAGGTGTATTATCTTTTAATTTGGGATGGCAAAACAAAAGGTTTAAACATATAAGTTCCCTTTCAGAAACCATGTTATAATAGCAAGTCTGACCCCTGCATCCCCTGAAGGAGAAGCAGAAGGCTACTCAAGCTGCCCTTTTTCTGGCTGAATGCAGCCCTTCCAGCTCAGTGAGGTGTCCCTTGAGTGCTGCACACCAGCCTTGCTCTATTAAAAGTCTGCTTTGAATGCTTTCCAGCTTGAAATCTGAACTGCTGTTGTGCTCCTGAAACGGTGTGCAGGATTGATCAGGGGTTATCTCCTCATCAAATACAACTTTGAACATGAAAGGGAAGAGGGGTATGGAATTAAGTGCCACAGTTTTCTGGGCTTATTGGAAGTGCCTTTTATAGCTAGGCACAGGTCTAGTGACTCCCCACTGGCCACTTGTATTTTTCTGTTCAGGTAATTACAGGGCTAATACAAGTTATTAAAGAGATAGTGTTATTTCTGTCATAGCCATCAAAGTTGAGGTGTTGCTACTAACTAATACCCAACCTGTTATGGCTTTGCTAGGGATCCTTAATGATTATGCTTTCAAAGGGGGACTGTCTGCAGACAAGAAGGTGTCTCTTAATTGGGTGCAGCAACTGCAAGGAGCAGAAGCCATGTGGCTGCAAAGTGGGTGCATTACCCCTCGCAAAGCAGAGCTGCCGGGATTCACACAGACCAAATGCCCAGAGGAGACGAAGGGGAGGCCGACATAAAAGTAGTGTTTCATTAAAAATGAGCTTGGACTAGCCATGTCAGCTCTTAGCAGGCTGGACAAATGCAAGCCCACGGTGTCAGTGGGACAAATGGAAGTTTGGGGATTTTTAAGTAGGACTTTGGGATGGAAATCGTGTGTTCTCATCTGAGGCATCTCTCAGCTGCATGTCAAGCACTTTGTGTTTGAAACAACTGCAGTACTGTAGCCTGTGGCTTAATCAGTTGTGCCTGTACTGCAATAACCCTTTTCTCTCTCTAGCTGCTGTGCCAAGCCCTCTCCCTGCACCAGCAGAGTGTAGTTCCCAAGGCATCCTGCTCTTTGGAGGAAATCATCTCATTCTGTACCCCCAGGCTCTGGAGCATAATGTCCCTCACAACAGGTAACTGGAGTTTGGCTGTAGTAGCCAAACACTGAATTTTCCTCATGGCACCCACCAAAGTGTTTCCCTGGGCTTGGAAGCCCCAGCCACTGCCAGACCAGGCACCACTCTCAGTAGTGTCTGGATGAACAGCAGCTGTGTGTTCCCTGCAATGCAAATCTCCAGCTGTGCTTGCTGGGCAGGATAACGCTGCGGGGGAAGGTAGTAAGACAAAAAGTCTATTTGTAATACAGATCCTGTACAAGCCACTCTCACAAAATGGCTGTGACTGGCTAGAGATCTGTTGTACCCTTTATCCTTTGGTCTGCCCATATCAATCTCAGCTCACACAAAGAAGCTTTCAACTCCTGCAGGAGGCAGGGGAACAAGATGGACTGGGCTGGTGGTGCATCAGTCACATGGCACAAAACTATTGCTGCTGTAAGGAAGCATCAATCCCCACCTGATGCTGATCAAATTCATGGCAGTCCTCTGCTGTTGGTAACTCTCTCCCCCGATGGCTTATGCTGAGAGGGAAGATCATAAAATTTAACAGGTGGAGCTGGTGACATCGGTTTTCAGCTTCTGGTGAGACTCCCAGCTCATGGTGGGACTGACAAGGGCAAAGCTCAGCCACGCAGAAACATGCCTTTACTATTGCTTGCTTCTAACCTGTGCACCTGGAATATAACAGTACCAGAGGACAAAATCATCTTGATGTGCTTCACTAAATTAGATGTAGATACCAACTTGGATGTGACCCTGACCATGCATCTCTCTATTTGAATGGAAGAGAACTAATCAGTAAGTCTGGGTGCCTTGGAGGTGCAAGGGTTATTGGGTATAATTTCTTGTCATTCATTGTCATGAAGAGCAGCAAATCCAGCTGACCTTTGAAAGCAATTTGTATTTTCCACCGTGAATTTAAAGAACTAGAGAAAACACCCAAATGGAGCAGGGCAGGTAGGACTGAGGGTCATGTTCATATTTGTGCTGGCTCCTAGTGCAGTGTGATGGGTGTCTCGAAAACATCTTTCAACTGTGCATAATTCTATGCCCCCTCTGCCTTGTCTCCAATATACCCGTTTTACTCCTACGGACCTTGGGTAGCAGAAGAAACTGCGTGCTTAGCCTTACTTAGCTGGTGTGTGTCCAGGTGGACTTCTGATGTGTTAGTGTAGCCAGTAATGTGTTGAAGACACAACTCATGGGCTGGTTCTTAGCTTGAAATTATGTTATATGGTATAACAAGCACACAGTTAACTGGGTAACCATGCAGATGAGACAAAGAAATGTGGCCCATTGTCCCTCTGAAACGATAATAGTTTCCTGAAAATACTCACTGCCTCTGCACTTTAACTTAGTAATGGTGATGTGTTGGCAATAATGTTGATCCTTAGTCATGCAATTCATCCACTGGGAATATTTGTTGTTCATGTGGTTGTTTTGGATGAAGTCCAATTGCCTCAATTTCTTTGTACTACCTCTAAATATTTTAGAGGTAATGAAAGTCAAATAGTTCCTCCACTTGGTCTGAGACGAGACCTTCTTGATGGGATCTAGCCTAGTGAACCACTCTGAGATCTGCCTGAATAAATGTATGTTCAGCCCACCCTTACAACTACTTGTCTTCCTCAGGTAAATCCTGCGGGGATGTCTTCCCAGCCCCTCTGCTGGCAGAGTCAGACCAGGCCACGGTTATATTTTTTTCTGGTGGGAGCAACACTGGCTGTGGCTGTGGGCTCACCTTCATGGCCACCCATAAGGACTCCGAAGCAAGTGATCTTGCTGATGCTGTTAGAAACTCCTTTCCTCTCCTTCCTGACCCCTTTAAAATAACAACTACCCTTAGTGTGCCTGGTTTCTTTAAAAATCAAGTTGTTGATTTGTGTTTATTGAAAGTACTGTCTAATCCCATGTGTTAAATTGTCTCCTTTCCGATCTGAGTACTGCAGGCTCTGGCTGTGGCAGTGTCGCAGTGTTAGTGGAAGAGGGGAAGATTGATACTGCTAATTAGCCTGGCTTGTATCCCAGGGACATGAAGTGCCACTGGCTCATTGAAGGTCCAGCAGAGTATGTCGTAAAGGTAATAAAAAGAGAAACTGCTCTTAAACCTCTGCACTGAGAACTGTTCAGGGGAGCAATTCAATAAAATCCTGCCAGAAACATCTGTGACGCACAAGACTGCAAATTGTAAAGTCTCCAGGTCACTGATTCTTTGCAGGGCATATTTTGTCAATTAGACATCACCTCTGAACTCCTGTGTGAAGGGGCTGTGACTGTTGTAAGGGCTTGAAATCTATAGGCACCGGCCTCATCCCAGGATAGCTTTATCTTGAAGTCCAGCACAGATTTGAGGACAAAGGGAAGGCAGAGAGCATGTTGCAAACAAGAGAGTCAGCTCTTTTCTCAAGGCAGTGTCAACCTCCCCCACAAGCTACTTCTTAGTCCATACCAAAGTGTCTGCTTCTCATTGTGCATGGGCTGTCTGACAATAGTCCTCACTCCTACTACCAGCACCTCTCTTATTTTTTATTGCCTGCTGCATCTTGTGTGCAGCAAGCATCCCACCAAGCTTAGGATGAGTCCTGTTGCCACCGACATTGTTTAAAGCAGAAACATCTCTCCTCCCCTGTTGCCTTGGCTAAGGGGTGGAAAACGGTGTGTCCTGGTTTTGCCTAGGATAGAGTTAATTTCCTTCCAGCAGTTGGTGCTGTGTTTTGGGTTTAGTATGTGAATAGTGTTGATAACACACTGATGTCTTAGTTGTTGCTAAAGTAGTGCTTACCCTGTCAAGGACATGCTCTGCCAGTGAGGATACGCACAAGAAGGTGTCAGGGAGCGTGGCCAGGACAGCTGATGTGAACTGACCAAAGGGATATTCCATATCATAGAATGTTGAGCCCGGTGTATAAACTGGGGGGGTGTTGGCTGGGAGCCACAGAGCAGTGCTGGGAAATGGGCTGGGCATTGGTCAGTGGGTGGTGAGCAATTGCATTGTGCAACTCTTGTCTGTCTGGGGTTTTATTGCTCTCTGTCTCTTTTTGCTGTCTCCCGTTTCATTGCAATTATTATTGATAATATTATTATTATTATTATTATTAAATTTTATTTCAACTGTTAAACTGTTCTTAACTCAAGCCTACAGGTTTTATCTTTATTATTAGCAATTCTCTTCCTCATCCCACCAGGAGTGAGGAGGGATGGGGATGTGAGCACATGACTCCATGGTTCTTAGACGCCAACTGTGGTTAAACCATGACACAGTGTTAAACCTAGGGATGACTGAGGATATGCAGACCTGTTGCTTGGTTTGCTGCTGCTCTGCTGGTGTGAGAACTTGCAGTCTGGATGAAAAACAAAACAAATGAAAAATCACCCACTTCCCATGCTTGAAGGAAAAGCTCTTGAAAGGGCAATCCATATGGGGCACAGTCCTTTCAGAAGTACAAGGCATTGAGTGCTGCAGTAAAGATGACAACTGAAATGCCTTAAGACAAAGTTTAGGCCACCTTCATCCTCTGCAGACCTGTCGGTAGCCCCGCACAGGAAGGAGCAGTCATGCCAATATTCCCTATAGACTCTTCTGATGCAAAGGGTGACACGATCACCAAGGGAAGTCATGCCCAAATTCTTCCTAGAATTCCCAAAATCAAGCTTTTCTCCAGAGGTTCAGAAGTTTGTTTCAATCTTGACGATTCCCTCTTGTTTGTCCACTTTGCAGCTGGAGTTTCAAGACTTTGCCACAGGGCTTAGCCCAGGCTGCATTTATGATGCAGTTACTATTTATGGTGATGAAGAAGAAAACCAGCTGTGTGAGCGCTAATTGTTTCAGACTTAAATTAGAAATCCTGTGGAAACAGGCATGTTTTATCAGCAAAATATGCTCTCTCTGGTAACACGGTATTTGGTACCACTGAAAGGGCTTCTGCAGTAGCTTTGAGGCCCATCTGTCTTGCCCATCATGACGGCCAAACATGCCATTGGCACAGGAGATCCCACATCCTGGTCCAAAGTCTCGCTGCTGTTGCAGGGTTGAATATAAGACCATGGCTCATGTTCTGCTGCAGAGACAGTGGAGTGCACAAGTGTGTGCTGCTGGATCTGGCCTCTGCTCTTCATCACTCTCCCAAAGGAGAGAGCAAGAGCAACTTGGCTCTAAGTGTCGTTGTAAAAGACAAATGTTCAAAGTAAGGCAGAGTGAAAGAACAGTTGTTAGTGCATGTTTAATTCTACTGAAATGGATGTGAATTCTTATTACCTTGAACTAGTACTGTTGGAAATTCATTAATGAAAAATTGCTAACCTGGGGCATCTCTTTCCCATACTTTCAGAAGCAAATATTTTTTAATTTCTCACTTTAAATCTGCTTCAGTTTCATCAATATAAAAATCTTTAACTTTAGTGAAAGAAATGTTTTTAACTTTCCTTTTTTTTTTTTTAAATTTCTATGTTTCCAGATGTTATCCCTACCTGGATGAAAAAAACCCACATTGTAACAGCCTGTCGTTTTCAAAAAAACAGCTTCCAGACACCATGCTCACTTTTGCAGAGCTCGATATTTATTCTTAAAGTGAAAAGCAATCTGGTGCTCAGAAGGGAAGATATTTGATTGAATTCTAGCTACTTCTTTACAGACCTCTATGTCAACCAAAAGACAGTAGAGTGGTCAGGGGCTGGCACTCTTTTCTTTGCACTAAGGAATCTGGGTAAAAGGCTTGAGTTGTTCAGGGTTTGTCATTGACAAGTGATCTTTGGCAAATGCTTCTATTTTTTCCCCATCTATTTTGTGGTGGTAATTTCGTTGCATGTGTTTACCAAATGCTGCATAAGTATTAACACTGCAGTTCATGAAAAGAAATCTGGTTTCCATTGGAAAAGAGTATTTAAGCAGGAGGAAGAAGGCTGACAAATTTGGGTCTGGAATCTTTCAGGGCAGAGCTTTCAGCATCCTGGAGAGTTCCACTCGATGCTTTCCAGAACAACTTTCCCATAAAAAATTCAGATTCTTACAGGAAAGCTCATCTGGAGTAAAGTTCAAGCTTCCTATCCAGCTGGAATTATGGGTCTTCCAGCTGTTATGTAAACTGGATGCTCTCAATAGGAAGAAAAGTCTAGGAGCTGCTCTCTAGGTCCTCAACCTGTACACAGACCATTCAAGAGAGACTTTGCTTGCAGCCCTCAGTGGTGACAGACACAATTCTCAGGTATGGTTTGGTGGTTTGGAGTTTTGGTTCATGCAATGGAGGGCATTCAAATTGTCTGTTGAAGATTACTTGTAATTCCACTATGAGGAAATTAGGATTACTTTCATGTTCATGTAACGTAACTACAGTAGATTAATTCCGGCTACTATTGCTTGCTCTTGCTTACTGATATCACTGACTATCATTGCTTTGCGGGCAAAAGTTAGATCAAAAGTTCTTATTCTCATTAGAAAGTCATCAAGTCTTTATGGTTTGTTTTTTGAGAAGCCTAGATTAGCTAAAACCACAAGCCCTTACAGGATGACATCCTAAAAGTATGGATTCTTGTTCACTCCCACAGCTAATCTCTGTGAATTCTCAGCTCCCAAGCCGGGGCCAAGTTCAGGGAATACCATGCTGGTACATTTTGAAAGTGATGGGGAGAACAGCTTCAGAGGGTTTAGAGCCCAGCTCACTTTGGTTCATTCAGGTTAGTAGAGAGATGCTTGCTGTGTCTAACAATTTCCTTATCATCTGCAGCTATTCTTAGATACCTGAGCTTACTTTTTAGGCTAATCCTGCTGCATTCTGTCGAGGTAACTTTAAAAAAGAATAGCTACTTGTAGCAGAGCTCCCTTTGCTAAATTAGGGAGATGAATCAAATGTGCTTTTTTATTTTCACTGAGAAATGACTGACTTCTGCTACCTGAAACAAGCAGCCTTGTTAATTGTCAGTCTGATTTTTCCCTTGAAAACCTCATTATAGAGGAGAGTCTTGATCCTGGGGACTAGTCTGCTATTGTTGTTTTCTACTTTCATGAGTGTGTGCCAGCTGCTGCTTGAGGCAGATGAATAACTTTTCCCTTCCAGAGTGGAGACTTTGGGGGGACAAGCCAGAGCTGTTGGCCCAAGTCAGAGCTAACTCTTATTTTCTTCTCTTGCAGAGGAGGCAGGAAGAAAAGATTTTGCATTAACTGCACCAATGTTGCCTTTGAAGGATGTTCCCTTAGGTAAAGAAATTAAATTCTGCTCAGTTGATCTCGTCTGAGGAGCTTTCCTCACATATAAGAGGCTTATGCAGTAAGGTAGATGCTTTCTGACCTCAAGTTCTCCTTTTGTGAACTTTCATGTGTGAAAAGTGATAGGCAGGTGCTCCACCACTCATTATCCATACTTGTGGTACATCCTCTCCTTTTCAGTTGCATGCACTTCCTATTGGGAGCAGAGACAAAGCAGAGAATGGGAGAGAAATGCTTTCAGTGCCTGAGCCTCACTTGCTCCCTGAAGGGCTCACCGCCTTAGGATTCAAGCTTTCATGTATCTGTTTTTCCTACCCCCACCACTTCCAGACAGAGCAGACAGATTTTCTCTCTCCTGCATCTTTGGCCTTGCTGTATATCCATGGCATGAGGTTATCTAGGAAAACAGGAAACTTGCCTGTGGAAGTATGGCTAGTTTTCTGGCTCTGGTAAACACCTGTGGTTTTTCCCCAGTTACTCCCCAGTGGCTGTTCAAGCATGTTAGTGGGGCTGAGGAGGCCTGTCCTCACTGTTGGCCATGGCACACCTCCCTGAAGCTCCTTGGAAACGCTCCCAGTGCAGTGGGACTGTCATCAGCCCTACATGGCTGCTGACAGCCGCCCACTGTGTGTAGCTGTGAGTGTGACCTGCATGTTCCCAGGCACACTCTCCTCCTCTCCCCATGCTGTGAACTCCCCCTGCTCCTCCAGACTGGGTGCACAGCTATAAATTATATTCACACCCTCTTGTCCTCTAAAAAAGCCTTTCTTCTGCCCTTCCGCCATGAACACTGATTTTAGAGATGGGAACAGTTTGGTCTTCCTTGTAGGAGATCCATTAAAGTTAATTGAAGTATCTGCTATCAGAGCCAGAACTGATGCAACACACTTGTCGTGGTGAGAAGCTCTCGCTCAGCAGTCCTAGGAATAAGTGACTAATTAGAGAAGACCCAGAAGGGATGTATGACTGCTGAATTAGGAATCTGTATGACTGACTGTAAGTAGTTCCAATATGTTTGCTTTTATTCTACAGATCCAATAAACCCTTGCACTGGACTATGACAGCAAGAGACCATGATAGAGCCCTAAGAAGGTCAACACAACAGGTAAAACCCAAGCAGTACCATTAGAAATGTTTACTTTGGTGTATTTGACCCTACAATATTTCTCAAAACAGACTTATATGCACAGATAAAACAGCATTGACAACAAGGCAAAATGACTGATATGTAGCCCAGGTTGAAGAATGAGAAAGGAAATCCATTAACTCTGGTCTCATTCAACTAACTTGCAGTGTAAGGAAGCATGTTTTATACCTGGTTCTTACTACCAGCAGTAAAAAGTCTTAAAATCTAGCAGAGACGACTGAGTGTCTTCAGCATCTTACTCCCTTGGTGCCGAGCAATATAGCTGTCTATAAAAAGCTTGCTGACTCTTCTTTCCCAATGGGACAAAAGGAAAAGAAGCTCAAGTAACTCACACTAGTCTCCTGCAAAACCTTGAGGCTTGTATTTGCACAGTGAAGTAGTCAGCCTTCACCTTAGCCTCAGGAGGTCCACATAAACTATCCCAGCAATTTTCTCAACTGAGTGGCAAGGTAGGGAATCTGTTTTTCAAAGTCCTTGCACCTTTTTTACTTCTCTTCATGACCTATTTTGAGCTCGACCATAACTTGTCATTTTTGCCCTCTTCCTTTACAAATACCCTTTCAGCATGCACTTCTCTGCCCTAGTCACATCATGGTGTATCCGCACTCTGGAATGTTGAGCTATTGTCCTGATGCAGCTCAACATCTCTCTGGAGTACAACACTGCTGTCAGGCCAGTGTGCCTGCCCAGCAGCACAGAGACATTATCCTTCTCTTCCCTCTATGCTGTGTCTGGATGGGCATCATCAAAGAAGGTGGGTCTTCTGATTTTGCACGTTTGCCCTTTATGAGCAGAACTTACTTCTCCATCAAAACTATGTTATTCTTCTGCCCAGACCTAACCTCAAATTTATTTTCCAACCAGATGGGATCCAAGCTAGAGCTGCAGCAGACATGAGTACCTGTACTTGAGAACGAAATATGTGAGATAAATTGCTACTTCAGTTACCCTGGAGGGATCACTGCCAGGATGTTTTGTACAGGCTTTGTTTCCGTGGGAGGCCAGGACTCTTGTCAGGTGAAGTAAAATTAAAGGTGAGCACTCTTGAAAGTGTTTGCATATATATGTCTGTGGATCACTTAGGGAAAGGGACTGGGAAGGACAGAAGGGAGAACAGCAGGTGACAGTTAAGAGCTCCAGTAACATGCTGTCCCTGGAGTGGATGCACTTACAGGAGTCAACACAGTCGATCTGTATGGGAGATATAAGCAGTGTGCAGTGTTGCTTAAGTGGGACCACAGAGTTTAGAAAGCTTTCTTTGAATGGTAATTTCTATGAGACCTGTGGAGGAGAGATGTTCTTCCCTTGCACTTCCCAAGACCCATTTATGATCCCATTGAAACATTTCCCATTGGAGCTTGCTTGGAACTCTTTTTCATGGCACTCTTTTGTCAAGATAAACTACGACTTCTATTGTTTTTATAGAACTCTTATATTCAGAGCAGTGTTCAAGAACTGACTAATGTCTCCAAAATCACAAGGCAAGCAGGTAAGGACAGCTGAGTAAATAGAAGGCAAAGTAATTCTGACTGAGGCATTGTCAAGCTAAAATGTGAGTTCTGCTCAATAACGCAATCCAATGGCAGACAAATAAATGATATGTAACACTAAGGAGGACTATTGAGTCATATTTTGTCTGCAGCCTGTGCTCAGTCTTCACTTTATGCTGATAAGCAAGCCTTTAAATCAGTCTCTTCTTTGCAGGCTGGGGCTGAGTCGCACCAGTGGCTGTGTTCCCAGTTCCTGCAGGAGGGCTTTTCCGGGCACATCTGATTTCAAAAGCTCTCTTTTAGCTGCAGCAGTGCAGAGGCCAAATGAGACCCCTGTGAGTCCTCTATCTTTTGGTTTCAGGATGGTTCTGGTGGCCCCTTGGTTTGCAACCCTGAAAATGGATCATTTATGCTTTACAGCATTGTCAGCTGGGCTGTTTGCTGTACCAGCCCAAAGAAACCAAGGTTCTTTGGTTTCACGGGTGAGGATTTTCATGGACTGGATAGGACTGCTGAAGAAAAGTGAGTTTTCTTTGTCTAAGGGAGGTGAGTCCTGAATATCATGCCTTTGTATAAAATATCCCAAGTCCATTGAGGTTTTGTCTAATAGGCTTTTCAGGGCAGCTTAAGATGAAGGAAAAAAAGTCCAGGTGACTTACTGCAGAAAGTCTCCACTTCCTCCTCTTCCTCATGCCTCCCCCCTAAATAAAGCTTACTGGAAATTAGAATGGAAGGTCCAGAAGTGTAAGACTTGAATTTAACACTTTGACTGTCAAATCGATCATAATCTTTGAACAGATACTTCTATCAGCAAAAAACAGCTGCTTGTGAAAATGCCTACCAGCCCCATGCTTTGATGGGCAGAATAGTTTGGGAAATGCAGTAAACTGAACTTGTGCATCTATGGATCTAGATATAATTAGCATCGTATTCAGAAGTCTGGAGGATAAATTTTGCCAGAGAAAGAGTAGCATATGCTAGTGAATAAGGACTGATTGCATGAAAGTGATGGCATCTTACAAAAAGAAGAAGCCTCTGTTCTTAAGCTGGAGGGGCTCTCATGCAAAGAAATTAGGGGAGCAAACCTATTTGAAGTGCCCCACGTGAACTCAGCATTGTCATACTGCTTTCCCCGAACCAACTCTCTCTCTCCTTCTTTCCCAGATGTTTCTTTCCTGCTGAGGCTCCTCAGGTCAAGGTGAATTTGGCTTTATAGTTTCGTTGGCAAATGGAGAAATCCACCACTTCATCTTGTTTAATCTGATGAAATTTGAGAGATTTCAAAGAGACACCAGATAGCTTCAAGTCTTTTTTTTCCCCATGTTAAATAAATAGATTTGTCATTCTACAGAAATGTTTCACTTTGGCTTGAAGTAGTAGCACTAGGATACTGCTGATGCAAAACCTTTGTATTCCAGAGCTTTATCAATCCTCCTTCCCTGCGTGTGCACACATACAGCCAAGTATGTTAGTGAATAGCTGTGGTTGTCCCACAGCATTTCTTAAGAGGAAAAACCTAATCCTGGACAGAGTTTTTGTGTATCTACCCATCCTACATTTTATCCTTTTGCTGCCAGCAGAAAATAGAAGACTTCTGCTCACAGGAATAAATTTAATCTCCTTTCCCTGTATACTGAATAAAGTGTGCTGCACTTATGAGCAGGAAATTAAAGTATATATTAAAGAAAAGGGCATGTTGTGAATAATGCTCTATTCTCAGGTCAGATGAGCACTTGGATTCTCCTGCTTTGTGCTGCAGCAGCCAGTCTTTCTCCCTTGTGGCATCATTCATAATCCCACGCTGACCTAACAGAAATGCTACTACAGGTGCTGCTAAGAGAGAACTTTCTTCTAAACTAAAACCAGGTGACAAAACAAGTCATCATTTGTATGGTGATCATCAGCCAGACCAGCCCCACAGATAAGCTGGGAGCTAGCTAGATATCTTCCATACCCTTGGATCTGACACAACTGGCTGCTGACCACTGACTCTGAAGGCAGTAATGGCTTTCATGGCCAGGCATGCAGGGAATTGCTCAGCTCTGTAGTATAAATCTTTCTCAGAGGTGGAGCCTGTAGTGTTGCATGCAGCTCTCACACACACTTTCATGCAAAAGGTTCAAAGCCCTGAGGGCTCTTTGAGCCAGATACTGACTCAAAGTATCAGTATACTGGTACTTGCCTCCTTTATCTGACCTTCATGTCATTGTCTTCCTATTGTGGGAAGTGCTTGGCCATGCTGACTATTCTGAGTTCTGTGTTAAGCTGTCTCTAAGCGTGCTGTGCCTCTCCTCAGATGCTGAGCAGACCATGCTGCAGGGAAGTGGCAGTGCACCAGAGACCTCAGCACAGGAGCCCTCAAAGCTAACAGGAGAGGCGTGCAGGCGGGGGGACTGCAGAGCTGTGTGGAGCTCCCGTGTGCCACGGGAGGCAGTGCTTGGTTTGCAGAAGGCAACGGAGCTGGTTCAGTTCAGGATCAGCTCTGGGTGGTAACTGCTAACAGGTCTGAGTTTCCTAACATCTCTGTGCAAGTGGATACTGCTCTCTGGATTTTGTCCTGGGAAGTGTGTGTGTACACAGGGAGAGGGGAGGGAGGGAGGCTGGTGAGCAGAGGCGAGGGAAGGAAGACCCTCTTGTAGCTAGAAGCAGGGGGCTTGCATAGTGGAGCAAGGATCCATTACCACTGATGCTGCAGAATTCCTTGGATATGTTGCTAAATCTGCTCTCTCTCTCCCTTACCATTCCCTTACCTGGAATAAGGTACTGCTTTTTCATCTTCCATGTTTTAGACTGAATTTCTCAGGGCAGAGAGAACTACTTAATTTCTTATGCATCTACTTTGCTTAAACAGAGCTATGGTCTTGGGTGAGACACTGTCAGCTTACTGCTGCTTTTGAAGCACAACAGACAGCCCTGTCCTACTAATGTGGCTCCTCCTGGCTAGTAAGCGTTTAAATGTTTCTCCACATCCAACACTGTTGGAGGAAGAATGATGAAAAGGCTAAAGTACCCTCAGTTACTGGGTGACACTAGCTTTGGCAACAAATTGGAGAATTCATTTGCTCACGAATTTAAAAAGCAATCTGTTCAGGAGGGGACGTGCTACCAGTACTGCTCGCAGACTTGTGCAGTAGCCAGGCTGCTGGCATGCAGCGTGTGCTTTCCTCCTCTTCCCATTGGCATCCTTGCTGGTGCTCCACAACATCACACTACTGAGATAAAAATAGGTTCCCCAAAGTGGTAAGCAATAGGAGGTGGGCATGGTTTCTCTCCACAGGGAAGTGCAGCACAGCCAAAAACTCTGGGGGTATCATTAGCACGGCAGCTCCAGGGCCGGTTAGGAGAGGCTGGAAATGTGCATAAGGCTCTTGCCCACCCTGCAGCAGGCTTGGCTCAGCTGAACTGCTCATCTCTGGGTGAGCTCAAAGCCATGGCAAGTGCACGGTGCTGCAATGACCTGAATTGGGTGTTTACCTGAATTTGGTGTCAACCTGAATGAAAAAACAGCTTTTAAAATGGACCTAGAGACAAACCCTTGTAGCTCAGCCTGTTGGGCTTTACCCTCTTCCAGGATGCAGCACCCGCACTACACTGGCATTCCCTGCTGTCCCCTGATGCCAGCACAGGGCCCTCACCCTTCAACAGTGCTGGGTATGTGCAGGAGCGCTTGTGCAAAACTGTGTGATTAACTCATTGCATTTAACTTAGACCATGGTGTAAGAGGTTTGGATTTCTTTAAAGCTAGATCTCCTGGGGGAAGGGTACTCTCCTTGTGCTCTCTTCCACTGAGAGTTAAGGCAAGTCACTCTTCCCTACACGTGCCCTCTCACAAGCACTGCTATGTAAAGCTGTTCACAACGCAGCACCTTCCTCAGGAGGCAAATGTTCTTCATCTCCCTTTTGGATTTGAAGGATTTCTACTCAGCAGGAGGGCTCAGCTCCTCCCCTCTGTGCTCTCAGTATCCCGTGCAGGTACGCAGAGACACGGCGTGGTGTCAGCATCCCATCTGAGCAGAAAGCCCATAAAGCATTGGTGTGGGAGGAAGCACACTTAAACAGAATTCAAGCTGCTCTACAGAGGGTATGACTTTAAAAATTGCTGCCTTGGGAGACAAACAACCCTATTATGCTTGGTACTAAAGGGACATGCAGTTCTCATTAGTGATCTTGTTCCCCTCCTCCTGCTCTGTTATAACCACTCAGATGCTTCCAAATATTTCCCTGTTGATTTGGTCTCTTATTTAACGAGTGCTGAATCTGACTGTACTGTGTGTGCATGCAGCTCCAGGCTAGGCCTGCTCTCCTCCTGTGTTTCTGGAGAACCAGGGAGTTCATAGACAAAAGCATAATATTTCATAACTCTTGTCAAGAACTGATCACAAGGTCAATTTAAAAAAAAAATAATTGCATTTCTTCCTCAGTAGTGAGCGAATATTTGAGGTTGGTAGGTCTGTTAGCCCAGCTACGTGACCAACTTGGTATCTGTTTATCTCTTTTCCAGGCATTGATTCAAAGCACAGCTCAAAGCAAATTTGCAAGCAAGTCTGCTTTCCCCTAAGGCCTGGCAGCTCACTCCTTTGTGCTGCCTAGCCTGTGTCTCTGCCTGGCTCTTCAAGGTTAAGGCAAGAGGGCTGCCTTGTGATCATGTACACTTTGAGAGCTCCTTCAGGCTTGTACCAGCTCGAATGCTGGACCCTAAGAAATGATCCAACTGATAGGAATGCGTTTTAAATATTTATACACATAGATAGAGAGGTGCCCTACGGAGGTTAAGCCTTTTATCACTGTAGCCTTTGCAGTGACTGCAATATCTGTGCCCTTGCTAGTGATATCAGGATCTTCAGACTTCCAGAAAGTCCAGTAATACTGGGGTAGGGGAGGAACAGTTTTAAAAAAAATTAGAAAACTAAATGTTGGAAACCCATTTCCCACTGACTTTATTGACCTGCTAGACTCTCTTTGATCATGGGCAGGACTGCCAGGTTTTGTGGAAAGCTCTTACTGTCTTGTCTTAATGCTTTTATCACTGAAGTGCACATTTATCCACAGAATGTGCACCAGAAGTGGAGTTAGAAGAGCCTGGGGATTTATATCTGCTCCTTCTTCATCACGTTATGTGGGAAGCACAGAGTGCTCTTGGATACTCCGACTCTCTCTGAAGGGCATGGCAAAGATTATATTACTATAATCTGTCAATAACATCATCACTGAACCGCCAAGAGGAGTTTCTTGGGATTTATGAAGAGAATCAGAGAGCAAGAAAAGCGCAAGGTAACAACAAATGATCCAGCTGAGGACACTCAGTCCTAGAAATTTCACTCCTTCACTTGGGCCAGTTTCAGAAAGCCCCAGCTGCATGGCTTCGACATGTTGGCAGCCTTAAGTTAAGCTTCAGAGCCCAGGCTGTAAGGTTGGCTGAAGACCTTAATCCCTGTGTCAGTGTGCTGCATTGATCCAGTAGGAGAACAGCCCTCTTAGTATCCTAGAGACCAGTAAAAGGGACTACATAGAAATAAACTGTGATGTTTGAGCAAACCCTCAGGGACACCTGTCTATATAAGTGACTCCTGACTTCCTATATTGTCAGCTTAGTTTTCAAAGTCGAGCCCCCTTCCTCCACATCCTCTGAGATAATCATGTGAGATGTAGTGATGGTACATATGATTTGACTCTTGGAATAAACGACACTGAGGCATCAGGGGCTGGGAAATAGGTGTGACTCTTCATACCAAAAAATATATTAACTTCTATGCAGAAGGTATAGTTTTGCTAACCGTGACCCTGCTGAGGTGTAATCCCATCAAGCATCTAGCAGTCTAGATTAACAAAATCCTCAGAATTAAAAGAAAGCTAAATAAAAAAGAAAGGGAGAACTTCAACATTGTTTACTTGGAAGTTTAAGTTTCTGGAGGCCCTTCTGTCTGCATGTGTACAGCATGCTGTGCAGAGAAGTAAAATCTTGTTGGAAGTGCAGCCTGGCAAGGAGATGGAGAACATCACGGGAATTCCATTTCAAAATGCGTGGAGGAAATGCTTTTTTGTTTCCTGTTTTGAAGAGTCTGTACACAGAGTAGGGGAAAAGGAGGAAATGGAGGAAGTGCTGTATCAGGCAGAAACTTGGAAGCAAAAGGAATTAACTGGAAATTATTGGCACAAAATGTAAATGGGGAGGGGGAAGTAGTAGGAAATGAGTGGGGGAAAACTCAAGAAACTAGATCTTGCAAAGGTTTTATTGAGTGTGCTGAAGGATCTCTATTCCTTCCCCCAGCATCTCCTCCCAGCCTTTCACTGTGGGTTTTTTCCTTCTCCTCCTTTATGCTACCCCTGTATAGGTTTAGTTTATTGTGGTTGCAGATGTTATACAGAAGAACTTCTTGGTAGATACTCACACTTATTTACTGGTAGACAATGTGGTGGAGAAATACACTGTGAGCTTTTGGAAGTCCTGTGGACAAGTTTTAGTGTACGTGTTCCCCAAATATTTCCAAAATTAAGTGATGCCTTTGGAGAAAGTTTTTAGATAATAGCTATTGTGTGTGGACCTTCATCCTCTTAACATCACACTAGTGGTGATGGCTAATGCTCAAGAGAAGAGGCCCTATTTGACTTCTGTCTTGGTGTAGATGAGGGCTAAAGGGAAAATAAGCTGTTCTTCCATGACACTTGAACAAGAACACTCTTTTGTTTTGTTACCAAATACAGTAGTAATGCTTCCAAGTGAAGACTGTTAGAGCAATGGAACATGCTAGGAATGTTTTTGTCATTAAGGAACAAAACCAAAACCCAACAAATCTACAGTTTAGCATGTCAGTTAACTCTGAGTTGGGAGTGAAAGCACAGAAGAGGAGAAGGATAGAGGATATGCTAAGGAGCTCTTGGAGCACTCCACAGCTATTTTCTTCCAAGAACTAATTTATAGAAGGCAATTAAAAAAATCTAAACCTGTGTCTATTACAGCTGAGAATAGCAGTTTAACTATCATAACTATTTACATGGAGGACAGAGGAAAATACTATCAGAAATGGGGCCATCAGTCAAACTTCTCCCTGAATAGGAGTCTCACAGATAGCTCCCTGGAGCGTCCTCCAGCACACAGGCTCACTGCTATGTAATAGCATTTGTTATGGCTGGCAGTTTTTCAAGACTGGGTATATTAAACTAGATTCCTATGACTATTTATATGCCAACATATTGAAACAGCCTGTTTTCTTCCCCCCCCCCCCTCCTTCTCCGGAGTTGGTGAATAACAGAAGTTTGTGGGTGCCTGTCTCTAAACCAAATTATTTTTAACCAAGGAACTAAAACACAGAATGAGGCTTTAATGTCAGTATGAGCTGGAACTCTAGGATGATGTTGTGATAGGGAAGAAAGAGGCTGGAAAATTCAGAGAGCCAGTAAGTAACCAGAAAATAATTTAGTGTGCTTAACAATGGAAAGTACCTATCAGTGGAGATGGAGTAATGGCAGAAATTCCCTGTCTCATCCAATTTTCAATTTAAGCCCAAGAACAAACCCATGTGTAGTCAAGCAATTTTTCAGGACAGATAAAGAAAATAAAATGCCTAGACTTGCAGGTAGACTTGAGGCAGCTGATACTGTGCAGTAAACTGAGCAAACCCTTGCTGGCCAGCAGTAAGTCACCTAGTGCAGGACGGGGACCGGAGGCGCTGCCTTGTCAAGAGGGGACTGCCATGTTACTGGAGCTGAACGTCTTTTAAATGTGAATAGTTCCTTGCTTTTTCACCTTTCCACAGAGTAACTTGTATGACTGTGGCCTACATTTCTCAAATGGTGTTTTTACGGGGATACTGTGCTTGGATTTGCTTCTATCTGTTCTGTGCAGTACTGTGCAGTCTCCTGTGGTTCTCCCAAATCCCAGACCTGGGATGAAGATGGTGCTCTGCTTCAGGATCCAAGGTACAGTCAAGCTGTACAAACACTTGTACAAGATTAACTGACATGTTTGATTGAAGCTTCGGGAACATACTTGTTTTCAAGATGCATTTATGGGCTTTCCAGAGACTTCACAGACAGATGTTCTCCAAACGTATGAAAAAACAGAGCTCTCTGAAACTCTAGCCTGTATAAAACTGTCTGATATGCACAATGCTGAATCTTGAAACCACTTTTGTAGGATTATAATGAACAAGATCTGGCCTGGTAGAATGGGAATGTAGAAGTTTCTGTGATTGGTTTGACCTCTAATTGAACACATCTCTTTTTCCAGATGAACTTTCAAAAGGAGTATTTCAAGGTTTTGCTCTTCAGATTGTATCTCAACCATAATCTATGCTTTTCCATGAGGGTCACATAGGAATTCTTCTTACTGGTGCAAGTCCTTCAAAAACTTAATGTTAAAGCTGAATTTAATGCTCTACATTCTTATTCTTTCAAGGACAAAAAACTGTCAATGCTCCAAAAATGCCCAAGCAGATGAGCTCGGAGTTGTCACAAGGCATAGATGTCACTCACAGATTGGGAAGGAATGATTCAGCCATTGGGATACCACGTGAGATACACAAATGCCACCAGGTGAGCACCCAAGTTCTTCTGGCTTTTGTAACTCCCATGAAATCTGCAAACATCTGTGATGTGTTTTTTAATGAATCCAGGGGTGCTTCAGTTCATGTTAGAAAACTGGGCAAGTTTCTCAAAGAGAGTTGGGAAAGCTGGTCGGTGCCAGTATTTTGTTTGCAGCAAAGAGCAGACAAACCTGACACCTCTGGGAAAAGCTCTGACCATGTCAGAGGCCTGAATGTGGCATAACTGAAGGGCTAAAAAAGGGGACAATAAACTATTTCACTAAAAATCTTTTGGCACTTTCATCCATTTCCTTTTCTTCCTCCCTTATCGTGCTTAGTTAAGGTAAGAGATAACTTTCCATTCAGGTGGTAATACCACAGACTTCTAAAGCATTTGGAAGGTTAACTTCAGAAGTAATAAATCATATGACCGAAATAGATTTGGACCAATATCCCGCCTTTGATTTTTTTATTTCTTTTCTTTTTTTAATGGGCATTGCAATCCCTTTTGCCTTTGCTCACATTTTGATCGCTATCCCTAGGAGATCAGAGCCAATTGTTAAATATGCCAGCATTGTGACTTTGTTCTTTGCTTTGTGCTGCAGCTGCCACAGGAGAATTGTAGCCCCATTAAAATCCATTATTCGCCTTGAAGTCCTGGACTTTCTGGACTGAAAGAAATCTGTCTAATTGTCACGGCCAACTGGTGGTGTGTGAAGGATTTGGACTAACGAAAGAGTTACTCGGTAAAAGAGAGCTCATCTTAATTCTGGGGTGAGAGAAATGGAGGAGCTTAACCAAGTTTCTTTTGCTGACAGACAAGGGATTTTTACATGGCACACTTCCATGCTCCAGGAAGGATTTCTGATACTTGGAGTTACTTCAGCTAGCCTAGTATCTTTCCCATCCTATAAGTATTTTTGCAATCAAACTTGTTGGATATAAGGTCCTTATAATGGCATGGCTGTGCCTTGGAACAATGTGAGTCTGTGTAGGATGCTCTTTCTCAGACTTTAACTGGAAGCATGAAAGTTGCTGTGTGTGTCTGAAGCTGTGTGCCAAAGACAAGGCAGCAGGTCAAAGTGATGGGGCCAAAGGGAGGGAAGCTTTTCCTACAGCCCTGCTAAGTGAGGGAAGGTGCCTACCTCACTAAGGAGCTATTGGCTTATGTAGGACATTTTCAGGGACGCGAAGCTGTGTAAGTTATCTTCTGTACATGGAAGAAAAAGCACAGACTGGAAATTTGAACTGTTAAGAGCACTTATTGATACAAGGTTCTTCAGTGCCAGATTTTAGTTATGTGAGACGCCCCAAGTGGCTTATTCCCCAGAGGAGATGGATGTCCTGCAGCCTTGTGAGCATTGCACGGTGTCTTGCACAAAAGAGCATGAGGGAGGTGTTGCCTGTCAGGGCAGGGATTTCTTCTGACCAGAGTAGTCCAGGCAGTGGGGATTTGACACTAGTGATTTGTAGTGGTTACAGTGAGTGTCTTTAACTATTTGTCTGTTTGAAGGAAGTCACCATTCTGGTTAGAAGTATAGCAAGTTTTCTTCTGGCCATGTTTGTAGACTAATGCATGAGCTCAAAGCTGAATGACATCAGGATTTTGCGTTAATAAGCTTTTAGAAAGTGAAATCTTTTCTGACACTGCATTTTGAAAGACTGTGACTTGCAGCTCTCAGGAGAAAAAGGCTCACAACCCATTCTGGTCTATTTTGCAGGCAACTTCAGTGGTGACACTTCTATCTATCCCATAAAATCTTGAGGTTCAGTAGTGACAGCGACTTTCCCTTCCAGGACTTCAGCAGCCATGAAAGGCTTTCTCTCAACTTCCTCTACTCAGGAAACACCATCGGATAAGTCTATTATGATTTTGTAGGGAGGGTGAAGAAGTAGAGCCTAAAGTATTGCAGTTACATATATTAAAAAAAAATCTGTTCTGAAGAGAAATGGTGGTTATTAATAACAAATCTATTAGAGACCTTGAGTGTTGATTGAATGCACAAGTAGTGATCTAATTACTGTGCTCATTTCCTGCTATAAACCTGTAAAAAAGAGATCCTGTCTTATCTGTTGCTCTCTATCTGCCCCTTTCCATTCTGCTCTACAAAACCAGAATCCCCTCTCCCTGTGGTCTGTCTGTTATTCCTTCTACAATCTCTCTTCTGCTTCTCCACCTAGCAGGCAATAATGCTGCCAGGTGCTGCTGTTACCACTGCTTACCTCCCCAGACTTCACCTCTGCCCCACGCCCAGGGAGCTACACAGTTAATTGGGCTCTAAGCTTAAAGACCAAAGGAAACCTCCCTCACATTCTTATTTCCCAGGCAGGGACAGAGCTGGTGACATGGGTGGACAGTTTTCTCTGTGAACAGCACTGCCCTGGCACCATTAAGCAAATCAGTACTTTGATCCCTCAGATCAGAGAAACTTGGAGCTGGAAAGATGTGTCCAATCTGACTCTTCTGTTTGTGGAAGCAAAGTATTTTGCCTTTCTAGCAACTTGAGCCACATCTAATCCTCTCCCATGCCCCTTTCTTCTGTCCTACCTGTGCTCCTCACTGCTGTGTGAATGAGCACATCTGCTTGGGCAAGTGTGTTGGGCTTCAGAAGTAAATCACAGCAATTAAATTTCTCTTATTAAAATGCATCAGCCTTACAGCAGCGTCACCAGAGATCTGTTTGCTTTTTCATGCAAACATGCACTTTTCCAAGATGAACTTCAAACCCTAGCTCTGAAAATGAGGAGATGCCTTTTCCATTCACCTGCAGCCTGGCTAAAAAATCCTCTTGGCTCAGACTCCCCTCCACAGAATAGTCTGTAATCTCTTTGTATTTGTGTACCTCAGGTAAGATAGCACTCTCCTTTCAGGTCAGGAAACTGGAAACATGGAGGTTGCTGACAGAGGTAAAACTGGTTTTAACTTTCCATAAAGCTGATGAGAGGGAAGTAGTAGAAAGCCTATTAAAAAAAAAAAAATCCTTCTCTTCTTTTTATGCACATTCTATATTTATGGCTTGGGAGTTAATCTCTGTCATGGGTAAGTGTCAACATTTGGGTATGAAATGGTCACCAACAACATTAGCCATGTCAGTACTAAATGTACTTTCTTAATTCTTCACATTCTTATTTTACTGTATTCACTTTCAATTCTTGCTACCAAGGCTGCTATATATGTTTGGAGAAATGCATGGATACTTGAAAGAAAAAAAAAAAAACACAAACAACAAAACAAAACCTCACCAGAAAAGTCCCAAACCTTAGCTAAATCAAAAAATCTTAAATATGTTGAATCTAAGAACTCTGCACTTTGTATGAAGGCTTGAACTTTAGCCAGGTTGACCAGTCTGCCTGAAGCATGTTCCCAGCTGTCAGCCAGAGGGATCCTCAAGGTGAAAGTTTAAAATCCTTATCAAGCTTCTACAACTTTCATGTTTCCAGCAAGCTCAGTTTCCTTTCCCTCATCACCCTAAAAAGTATGCTGTCAGACCCACTCTCCTTTCACCCCAGTAAACCAGGGCGTGATGGTAGTCAATTTTATTTTTTTTTTTAATTCCTGAAAACAATGTAGACTATTCCACCAAACCATGTAATAAAATGTTCACATCTCTAGAACATTGCATTCTGCATTTTAATCAGCTTTGTGGCAACTATAAATGCAAGGCAAAAACATCATAGAATCATAGAATGGTTTGGGTTGGAAGGACCTCAAAGATGATACAGTTCCAAACACCCTGCCATGGGCAGGAACACCCTCCCCTAGACCAAGTTGCTCAAAGCCCCGTCCAACCTGGCCTTGAACACAGCCAATTTATTTTGTCAGAAAAATCTTTCAGCATGTTCTCTGTGTTAAAGCAGCTTCCTGACCCTGCATTTCAAAACTGATGAAACTGTAGGATACAGGGGCCTCAAAATCCTTCTTGTAGAGTTGTATGAGCAGCCAACACAAAGTGAACTGGAAGGCAGCAGCCAGTGTTAAGTGAGACTCTGGGTCTTTCTCTGCATATGTCACTGTGCTGGTTTGGGCTGGGGCAGAGTTAATTTTCTTGAAAGTAGCTGGTGTGGGGCTGTGTTCTGGATTTGTGCTGAAAAGGGTTTTGGGTAATAGAGATGTTTTTTATTACTGCTAAGCAGTGCTTACACAGAGTCAAGGCATTTTCTGCTTCTCATATGGCCCTGCCAGCGAGGAAGCTGGGGGTGCACAAGGAGTTATGAGGGGACACAGCCAGGACAGCTGACCAAAGGAATATCCCATACCATGTGGCATCATGCTCAGCATATAAAGCTGGTGGAAGAAGGAGGAAGTGGGGGGGAACATCTGGAGTTGTGGAGTTTGTCTTCCCAAGTAACTGTTACTCGTGAGGAGCCCTGCTTTCCTGGGGATGGCAGAACACCTGCCTGCCAGCGGGAAGTGGTGAATGAATTCCTTGTTTTGCTTTGCTTGGATGCATGGCATTTGCTTCACCTATTAAACTGTCTTTATCTCAACCCACAAGTTTTCTCACTTTTACTCTTCCAATTCTCTCCCTGATCCTGCTGGTGGGGAAGTGAGCGAGTGCTGCATGGGGCTTAGTTGCCAGCTGGGGTTAAACTGTGACAGACACAAAGCAGTGCTGTTGTTATCACACTGTTTATTTGCTGAATGTACTTTCCCTTAAGCTGCTGTCTGAGATCATTTCAAGATACTCTTCCATGCTCTGATGAATTCAAAACTGCAGCGAGTTAATTCAGTGCTCACCCCAGGCACCCGACACTGGGTGGTAGTCCCTGTATCTCTGCAGTTCACACTGCCACTGAAGCAAGTACAGAAACATCCCTGAGGAATGAGTGATTATTTAAACTAGTTTTTGGATTGGCTTGCTTTTGTTTAAACCAGATGCTTATTGGGAGGAATGATTGGTCTCAGCGTGTAACTGACCTCAGATTAATTAATAACCACTGTCTGGAACCCGACACTACAAACAGGAAGCAGAAAAAAACCAGTTTAAGCCATCTGTGCTAACTTTTGCTTGAGAGCTTGGCTGCTCTTATTAGAGGGTTGTGCCTTTTCCTGTGGCACACAGAAGGGAGAGGGGGAGTCCATTACAAAAAGGTTAGTGTTAGATCCCATAGTGTGATCCACCAAAAGAGGGGAAATAGGGGGATGTGTTGTACCTCAGCCCTCAAAATTCTCAGTAGGTTTATCTGTACCAGTTCTACCACTGACAAGATTTTAATGGATTTATTTTCTGTTAAACCTTTCCCCCCCCCAGATTCATCTTCTATTTTACTAGTTTCTGAGGAAACTAAATACTCTTCCCTTCCAGTTTCATTCCTTTCCTTTCTTGTGCTGACATCTCTTGTGATCAGTGGAAGCTGGTAGTTGTGGGATACAGGTTGTTTATGTGCTCTTTAATTTGCTGTTACTGGAGATGGTTGGGAACGCTGTAGCAAGCTGATTTTGGAAAATGAAGACTTACTGTAGTGGAAACACTTCATAAATACTGTTTCAGCTAAAAAGGTCAGGAAATTATTCTCATGTGCGGAATATGTTTTCCTGAAAAATGTGTGGAGAGCTGCTCACCCAGGACACGTTGCCAGCCTGTACACATCTTGCTAGCCTCCAGGCAGGGCCATTACTATAGCCATCTTGTCAATCCTGGAAAAGAGAGATGGGCTTGCTGTCTCCCACGTGTCGATGTACATGCAGAGCTGCCCTCCAGCAGCTTAAATCTTCCTGTGTAGTATCCCGTGCTGCTTGCAATGGTGGCAGTGGAGATGGAGTATGGACTTTGATGTGTACCTGGTAATTAATGTATGCATGCAGTCCTGGGAGAGCTTGTCCTCTGCCCCCCCCCAGACATGCTGATGGCTGTATTAGGTACTTCCTGGCCTCAGTTAGGCAGAGGTACCACATCCTTCTGTTGAACCTTCATCTCTGTTTTACATGGATTCCTATGATGGTGGCATAGGTCTCAGATGTTTCATCAAGACCCGTAGCTTCAACGTAAGCTCCATCTGCACTGGGGTCTGGTGCCTGAGAAGGTGAGTGACTCACACGCCTCTGGACTCCCGGTGTTAATTGTAACAGCAGCAAAACTTTAGAGGTACAAGTCAAGGTTCTCTGGCAGCACAGCACCCAAAGCACTGAGACCTCCACTTGGATTCCCAAAGGTGTCTCTGTGAGGTAAGGTTATAAGTTTTGAAGTGTGAGTGTTGTTCGGCAGTAGATGCTGCAAGTGAACTGTGAACTCTTTCTGTTGCCTGAACTGTAGGGTTTTTTAGACTGAAATAATGTATTCGCTTTCCTTTTTCCTTGCCCAGTGCTCAGACAGAACAGTTGTGGGGAAGCAAATACTTGTTGCCAGATGTGAATGATGTCAGTCCTCTGCTTGCTAAAGCCACGTGTGGCTGTGGTCTTGGTGGGTTTCCTCTCAGAAGTGACCTGGCACTCCTGGAGCTGCAGAAACACATCGATCCATGTGCCATTTGTAGTCCCACCACATTCAGCTGTGCCAGGGTTAATGATTATAATAGGTTTCAGACATGGGGCACAGTGTTTAGTATGTGTGTGGGAAGGGGCTTGGGAAGACATCTGTGTGTCTTGCACAGTGAAGGATGGTAGGGGTGAAATGAACAGCAAACCTTCAGGCAGGATTGATTCCTCTTATCTGGCTAAAATACAGAATGAGGGTTAGGAATGTGACTTCAAGGTAAAAGTACAGGCTAGACATGACCTAGAGAATAGAAAAGATCACCTATTCTACCTGTCTTCCCAACCTGTTACCGCTGTACTATGACATCATTAAAGTTAATGAGCCAAAAATAAGCAGGCATGTCCCAAGGGAGCTGTTCTTATTTTTTTTTCTTCATAAAGACTGGTATGTACAGGACTAACATAATATGCACCTCTGTGCTGGTAACAAAGTAATGTTTGAGACAGCAGGAACTGAAATTTAAAAGAAAGATGTTAAGTTGCCTATACCCTTTGTCTAAACCCCAGAATATTCTTGTTAGGGGAATATTTTGCTGCAGTATATAATTTAGATTTTTATAAAAAAAGTGCCAAGCTTGGACAGAGCTGAGAGAAGTTACTCCTTCCAGTTTGCTGTGTACAGCTTGGGGCAGGACCTGGAGGAAGGAAAGGATAAAAATGGAAGACAAATGTTAAGCATTAGGGAAATGTAATGTAAATAGAGCCAGTGCACAAGCACAGAACATGTGAATAAGGAGGCTTTATAGCACATGGATCTTGCCATGTCCTCTTAATAGTATCCACAAAGAAAATAGCACAGTTCTTCAAAGAACTGTCTAACTATGTGCACTGATGATGGGAGGTTTCTGCACTGAAGGAGTGAAGTCTTGGGTCAAACTGGCTTGAGGAAAGTGTCTTCCTTCAAGGCCCTGGATCCATGTCACTTTGGAGGGCCTCCTCTCTCATCTTCTTAGAAACAGCCTTCAAAATATGTTCAGTTTGACTGTGCTGTGGCCTCAAACAGTGGTATCAGGAGAAAGCCTGATCTGACTCATTAAAACAGTGCTCTTGGGCATCCAGCGAGTACAGCAAGGGAACATATACATTATTAAAGCTCTGTCTCATCTGTTCTGCAGTCTTGTTGTGGGATATTTGGGAGGAGGGGGGAGATGAAGCAACGAGTTAAAAAGCAAGAAAAGCAGAGGGCTGACAGAAGTAAGAGCAGGAAAGATGTACCTGGTGTTGATGAGAATTTGCTTTCCAACACAGACAGTTCAACAGGAACAATCAGCTGCTGGCACACTGTGGAGAGGAACAAACACTGCTGCAAGGTCTTAACAACAGGATGGGGAGAGACAGGAGCTGACAGTGAGTACAGGTTACTCTGACATCAAAGGGCATCATGACCAATCGAGGGCAGTGCCAGCTCAGACTGAGAGCAGTGCCAAGAGAGATTTCCCCTCCTCCCTAAGTGTTGCCTGCAGTGTATGAAACATTTTCCACCTAGGAGCGAGGCTGTCTCTTCTGTTGGAAAACCGGGAAGCTTTGGGAAAGGCAAAGCCAAGATGGAAGCTGAGCAAAGGGGAATGAACTCAAGGGAGATGAAATCACACTCACAGTGAGTGTCCAGGGTCTCTGGTCCATGTCACCACTGCTGCTTGGCAGTGTGGTCATATACCTCATGTCTCCTTGGGATGTCTCTGTCTGGGGAGGAGAAACTGCTCCCCCATTTGCAAACTGAAGAGAGCTGTACCACCCCCTCATTCCAAACAGCCACTGACCCTCTTCCAAGAAATGTGGGATACACGTGCCTGGGTGCAGCTGGCACAGAGCTGGTCTGTGTCCTGTCTGACTGGCCCCTGTGCCAAAGTCTAGCACAGATAGTGGCAAGGAATCACTCCACTTACCTGGCTGGAGGTAACCTGGAACAGCTGGTGAGTTCGTGACAGACTTGAGGATGCTGTCAGAAGGTTTGTGTGTGATCATCTGTGCCCTGCAAAGAGGCATCCATCCCTGGTGGCGTGCTACCTTTACTCTCTCTTAGGGGCTTGGCCCAACATTTCTGTTCTTTTGGTGACCCATGCAAGAAGCAAGGATGAGTTATGGGGACTATAGGCCTCAACATATCATGCACACTTTCCACTGTTGACTGACACCCTGTTACTGCTCCTGGCTGATGGGCTTGGCTCCCCTTGATCCAAGCAACACAACAGCAAAAGCCAAGGTGGCTCCATACAACTGTCTGGAGAGTGACTCCTTCTCCTTAAGCACATGAAATACGTGAAATACATGAAAAACATGAATAACACACATGCAAAGGGATGTAGACCCCAAGCTGGGGTCTGTCCCCAACAGTGTGTTGATATCCTCCCAGGAGCAGTTAAAGGGCTGTGACTCCTACCCCTGTAAACTCGCTGATGATGTTGGGTTTTCCAGGGAAAGAACTGGTTGCCAAGCTCTAACAAGTGGAGATCTCTCTCCTTTCCCATGAGGCCTGTGCTATGGGAGACTCCTGGGGACAAAATATTGAAGAGATTAACATCTGTGAGAGAGCTACAGGGGCAACTTTTAGCACAGTGTAGCTGAGAGTGTGGAATGTGCTGCAGACAACCACGACACAAAGCCATGTCCCTCCCTGGCTTCCTGGATGTGGATGCTTTTGACACTGCTGACAGGTGATAACCCCTTGCTTTCTCCTTCTCTCGTCTTCCCCTTTTCCTTCTTTCAGGGAGATTCTGGGTGGCCACAGATCTGTTTGTTTGACAGACACAACAAGCTGGTCAGTATTGCAATCTGAGGCAGTGACAAGTGTCATCCAGGGTCCCTGACAGTCTGCACCAGGGTTTCTGCCTTCAGACACTGGATTTCACCAGTCACAGAACAAAATATTTGATTAACTAGAACAGAAGCTTTTCAGGCTTTTGTGCATTTTTGCTCAGTAAAGAGGTTGTCATGTACACCGGGTTTGTAACCGGGATCACGTCCCTCCAAACCCTTCCTCTTTGGAAGTTCAGACTTGAGTGCTCTGTTTCAGAAATCCTCTTTTCTACTGCAGTAAACCTTGCGGTGCTGTGGCACTGATATCAATTCAGTTCCTGAAAGGTGCCTAGGAAATATTATCCTTCAGCGTCTGGGTGCATGGCCAGTGTCAAGTCCTTTACACAGCTGGTATTCATCTGTCAGGATTGGTATCCCTGTTCCTCTTGGATAATCTGATTTACCAGAGGGAAGTAGCTGCTGCAGCAGCATGGATAGAGAAGATGGACTGCTTTGGCTGCAGTGTTGCTTTACTGGAAAGGAAGTGATCTGAAACTTGGTGTGATAGCTCATCCATTGTAAATATGCCTTCAGGTTTCAGAGAGATTTATCTATGCCAAGCTTTTAGTCTTGTCTCTCCTATTAGGAAGACCATACTGACATGATTCCATTTGCTAGAAGGTTGTTTTTTCTTTTAAATATACCTTCTTGGGGGCGAAAAGGTAGTGTCTGACTTACCTAAATTTTCCTGTGAGCTGGTAGCTCAAAATTAGACTTGGAAGTGAAATGTGCTTGTGAAGAAGGATTTTAACGCTCAGCCCTATCACATGTATGAATAAATTACAAGCCAGGAAACCTCTGCCTGCATCCATCTCCTCTGGTTTCAGCACTACTGTGCACTACATACACATCCATTCTTTAAACAGAAGATAGGAAGCTCTTTTCCATCTCTGTGCTGTATATTGTAATCCACTTAAATATGGAAATATAAACAGAGGAGTTTATGTGATGAAGCAACATGATGTCATGTAAACAAGTGAACTTAGCAACCATCTGCTGCTAAATGGCTGAAGAACTGCAGCCTGCCCTTACACCAGGTCATTCAGGTACATAGCTAATAGTTAATACATACATACATACATACAATACTTAAAAAATCATGTGTGTAACTTTTGATTTAGTGGACGTACCAAATAGCAGTGTCTCTGTTGCTTAAATGAAACCCTTCTTTCTCTTATCCACATCCCATGCTGCTTTTGGAAAGAAAACCTCATATTCTAGCACAATTCAGAAAACATCAGTCAATCTGTACAAAAATAATAGTTCCCCTGAACTAGCAGAGCTGTAAATTGCAGTATTTTGTCAGGCTGCTGTTGCTGATGACTGACTTGTTGTGTTATAACTAACTTTAAAAAACTGCTCTGCCATCATGACAGTAAATATGTTGTGGTTTTGGCTTAAAGATGTGATTTCCACAATGTGTCTTCAGCTGTGCAAATAGAGCAGCTTAGGGTTTGTAATTTGGTGCTGTATCACAGACCAGAGAGGCTTCCTATCGTGAAAATAAGTGTGGCCTTTGAAGGTTTCAGTCAGTATGTTATTCTCCCAAGATGTGGAGGCAGGATGGGTCACCATGCCTGCTCCTGGTGGCAGGGAGGTAGGCAGAAGGAAACCTGTCCCCAGGGTTCCTGATGTGCCAGTCACCACTTCTTATATCTGGAAAGAGGATGTGCTTCCCAGTGAAGTGACAGCCTTGTCCTAGGAATAGTCCTGTCTATGCCCTGGGAGATTGACAGAGCTGCAGGGTGAAACCAGGCTCTGGGACATGCTTGTGGTGGCAGCAGAACCCCCTGGCCTGCCACACAGGACTTTATAACTTAAATTTCACTGGGAGAAGAGTGTTAGGAAAGCTTCTGGCAAACCTGAAGGAGAGAAATTAATACTCCTCTGAACTTTTTTTTTTTTTATGACATAGAAAGGGGCAACCAGGTGCTGAGGGGTGTAACTGCTAATCTGCTAAGGCAAGTGTCACCATGTAAAATAATTTGGACTTACAGTGCAGAGCTAAAATTGAAATTAATATGTAGGATATCTGCTCTTTATGTTGTCCCTCAAGATCTGCTGCCTGGTCTCCTTTTGGACCACCTATTTGATGCAGAGGCATTTGGTAAGAGAAGAGACACAATCCAGGTTGAGGTGCAGCACTTTGTACAGAGGAGCTTTCCCTTTCCAGCTTTCTACAAGCAAGTCTGGATCTTATATTATAGATTTACCTCTGAGGGAAAGGGAACAGCAGATCCAAGAATTATTTGCATCTTTTGAAGGAAGAGGCACTGCAATATTGAAGAAGGAGGCATAGATGTTGGGGAAGGGTTGCATAATTAAAGCGTGACAAGTAATTCCCATAAGTGTGAACTCTAATGAGCTCTTTTCTCTAGTTCTAGACTTGTTTGAAGCAAGGGTAGATCATAAACTAATCTATACAGCATTGAGGTGTGATTTTTGTGGTTTGTTCTTTTTTTTTTTTTTTTGCAGAATAGCTCTTCACTGCAGGACAGCAGCTTTACCACACTCCAAATGCTATTCCTGATTCATCCTTTCAGAAATATCCATGCACAAATCCCACAGCACTGATGCTTTTATGCTTAAAGAGGGCACAGTAAGTATTTGCTGCACCAGCTTTAACTCTTCTATGCCATTTGGCTACAATATCAACACAGGAATTTAAAATCAGGAGAAGGTTCTCCTGACCACCAACTCCTCCACCAGCCCAAGCTGCAGTTCAAACTAACCTGGCTTTTCGGTTCCTTGGGCTCTGGGGGTTGTATATTAAAGTCTGGGGAGAGAAGGAGGGCTGCTGCCTGGCATTAGCTGGATGTGCTTGAATGGTGTGTGTGAGCTTTTTGTGGCACAAGGAATGGGACTACGAAATCCCAAACAGATTTCTCATTACAATTTCTCAAGTAGCTGGGAATGCAGCACATCCTGATGCTGCTATAAATGTCCTTCTCTTTGTTGCTGCACAAAGTTGATTGTCCTATCAAAGAGGGATGTTCTATGTAATTGCAATGAAGATGTTCTCCTGATTCATTGCTCTCGCTTTGTGGATTTTTTTGTCTTTCCTTAAAAGTAGCTTAACAAGAAACTACAAGCTGCTGGTTTTATAAGCAGAGATTTTTAAAATTTTAGCAAGTGCTGGATTAAGATGAGTGGCGTGAAATTTTGATTACTTTTTTCTCCCAGAAAAGCTTGTGCTTAATGTTGGGGCTCAGATACCCTCCTTTTCATGCTCTAAGTAACCTGTCACATTTTTACATGGACTGAGAGGCCTCCAAGAAGAATCCGTAACTTTTGACGTAACTAAACCCTTACAAACTCAAAAGCAGATCCGTATATCCTTGAAGCAAAACAGCCTGAACTGGCTGGAAGCTGTTGTTTTAGCATCTACATTTCATTGCAAGAGCCAGTTCTTCATATGTATATTTTCTTTGCATGCAGAATGAATGCATTCACATACTAATAAGGATCAGTTGCTATTTTCTTCTCAAGACACATACAGGATTTGATCTATGCTTGCTGTACTCTCTGCTCTCCCCTAATTTAGTGGCACTGTTTATGTAATTGCTGCTTTTCTGATTAAAGTGCATGAGTACAAGCTGAAGGTTTGACACAAGGCAGCCAAAGCTTTTTAATTGCCTTTAGCTTGCCTGTAGCTGCAGCACAGCTCTTTGAATGCAGCTGACTTGCGAGAAAGTCTGGGAGAGAAATGATGCACTTTTTATTTACGCTTTTTCTTTGGCAAAATTGCTCTGTGAATTTTTATCACCTAATGGTTTCTCTGACACTTTTAAAAACTGTGCAGCTTCTCACCAAGAGACTATTTTATATGAGACTTGGGCCAGTAAACCATTTCTGTGAGCTGGGAAGTGCTATGCTTCCTTCACAGAGCAATTCATTTTGAAATTAGCTGGGCCTGCCTGCTCAAGAGGAACTCACAGTTGCTTGGCTGGTAGTCCTGAATGGACCTATTAAATGCCATATTTCTGCAAAAAAAACCCAGCAAAAATCTATTGCTGACTAGCAGGTCCTGAAATTCATGCATATCAAGGGTAGCATAAATAGTTTCAGTGTGCGATTTTGGAGAGAAAAGTGGTCTCTGGCTCAGTAAATACTAACTTCTACCCAGTCTATTGAAAAAGGTGGTTATATAAGGTAGAAGTCAGCTGGAGCTTCAGCAGAGCTTGGAGGAACTGGCTTCCATTCAAAATGCCTTTTAAAATTCACAGCATTTAGTGATATGATTGCTAATTTACTTGCCCTGTACTAAGGTATGGCCAGCCTTGTGTTTCTCCCATGTGGTTCCAAAGTACAGTCTGAAGCTCCAGGTCCTTTCTCTCCCCTGTCTAAGGCATTTTACAGAAATGCTATCACCCTATATCACCCCCACTGATTTACAAGGGAGGTCTGGTCCAAGGCAGTTTAAATGGGTCACTGCTGCTGCCTCTGACCAGCAAGGTGGAGTTGTGCCAGATTCAAGCACTTTGAATTCGTGTGTGTGAAAATCAGTGTGTTATGGGTAGATGTCTGCTCACTACAGTGAATTGTAATGGCAGGCTCTTATCAAGTGATGTGCTGCTTTCCACTGTTTTCAGACAAAAGTTTCCAGCATGAATCCTAAACTGTATTTAACTTGCCTTTGTATGTGAGATTTAATACTTAGAAGGGGACAGGAGACCTGGAACACTACAAGATACAGTGAATAGAAGACGTGTAAGGAATGTGTGCCATAGGCAGAGGATGGGGACTCGTATGTAAAGGCATGACAGCAGGAGCACACCATGCTCTAAAATCATGACAGACTCCATGTTTAGACTTGCAAGAAAGAGAGCAGGTTCCAGAAGGAGAGAGTACAGATGTTTTATTCGGGAGTGAGGACTCTTCAGTCCTAGCAGGAAGTTGGAGAGTAAAACTAGGTCCTGAAGACTTGCGGTTGGTCACCAGTGAAGACAGTCCATGACAGATTGCCCAGGGTCCCTAACCACTGCTATTTGCTCCCTTTCTTTCCCCTGACCATGGAGAAGAATCCTAGTTAATGGAAACTGCAGGCAGTGCTCAAACTGGGTTTTGAATTTTCAT